TATGATCAGCTTTCGAGAGCTAAAGAAAGAAATATAGGGTGATGTAATAAATAAATGAAGTAAGGGAAGGGATTATTTTTAGGTAGACTGAGGGGATGACTGGATAGGGCTGCAGATAGGCCAACTGGGCTCCCATGGTGAGGATCCAGCCATGTAAGAGCTCGAGGAACTCACCAGGCAAGAGAGCAGTGGATACAAAGAGCCCAAGAGTCTGATGAGGAATGGGCTGATGAGTGGGCCATGTTTGAGGAATAGAAAAGGTGTCTGTGTGTATTTCCAGCAAAAAAGGCAATACTTACTTTTCTAGAATTTGAAATTATTAGTATTAACAATATAGTAATAATAATAGTATATAATTAATAATAAAGTGTTAATATATCTAGACCTCTTATAAAAATGTATTTGAATTACAGACTTTCCACTTTGACATTCCAGAATCGTCGTGTGCTATCAGCTCAGCTAGGAGGGCCTGACCCAGCATGCTATTTCCACTGCCTGGTTCAGAAGAAGACGCCCCTTAGCCCCCTTCCTAATAGCTTCCCGGAGTGTCAAGACTGTTCCCGACACCTCTGGAACAGTTACTTGATTGTAGTGAGCTAGGGATGGATACTCAGAGAAATATGATTTACGACTAAGTCACATGTAGGATTTAGAATTCAATCTTAATTTGAGAGGAAAATGTCAAGTATGACTCCTGTACCTAGACTACTTTTTTCTTTCTTTTTTTTATTTCCCTTCTTAATTTTCTCTTTTCCTTTCCTTCATTTTTCTATTAAGTGACTACAAAATTCTTTTTTATATATTTTAATATTAAATAATTATAAAATCTGTGCCAGTGAATTTTTAAGTATACTGCATACTGTCTGACTAGGAATGCTGAAAGAATTAGGGAGATAAAGTCCGTAGAGAGCATTAAGTGCCTTGGGGGAAAAAAGATATATATAAGTGCAGTCATTTCTATCTCAGTAAGTATATATATGCATTAAAACCACCAGTTTATGGTGACCCTGAAGTTTAATGTGTCACTATAGTTTATTGTGGCTCCAGTTTCTATATGAAAACCTCAGCCTGAGTATTTCCAAGTTCTATATCTTTTCTGGCCTCTCTTGTAAAAATAAAATGGGGCCTTATAATAAAATTAATAATAATAATTTTTAATAATCATAAACTGAAGTATTAAACTTCAGTACTTTCTATTCATTGAATAATGTTCATCATCTTATTTTATCCTCACAATAACCCTAAGAATTAGGTAATATATTTGCATTTTACCAGGTGAGGGAATGAAGTTAATTTCAAATCACTCTGAGCTGCCTAAGGAAGGCTTCACAACAAATAAGAATTAAATAGAAAGGCATGAAATAGTGTCTCTAAATTCTGATACAAGAAATAAATGAGTAATGACTGACTTTATTAACCCTCTTTCCAGGAAAAAAAAAAAAAAACAATCTTGGTTTGGTTTAGAGACAGCCTATCTTGGAGAGGGGAAGTCATTTCCATCATCACTAAGAATCTATGTGAGAGTGAATCTTTGCTGGGCCCAGCTTAAGGGATAATTTTACTCTTATATAATGAATAAAATTAGATCAAAAAAGATGTTTACTTGGACTTTAGGAGAAAGCAGTATGTGTGGCATTATATTAAACCCTGTGTAGCATAGGACATCAGATACTAAGTATGGGGTGAATGTAACTAGAATCAGCTAGTAAGCATCAGATCAAACCAGAATAACAAATTCGTAGTAAAATGAAAGTATCCAAATTGCTACAAATGTTTTATCCAAAAATATAAAGGGTTTTGATGGGATGAGGGATAGAAGAGTGGAAGAAGAGGTGAAAAAGCAATAGAAAGAAAGAACCAAACTTTTCCTGAGTTCCAGCTATTTATGGGCTAAGCAATACCTACTTAACGCAACTTAGTACAATTGAGCCTAACAACAAACTTCAGGGTTAGGTATTATTATCTAAAATTTTGTTCTGAGGAAACCAGCATTTAAAATGGCACACAAAATACCAAAGCCCCACAATTACTAATTGGAGAGCCAGAATTCAAATTTAGGTCTGTATTACTCAACATTATTGGGTCATTCTACTGCATGGCACTGTCCTAAGGTAGTTGGCCTCCTCTTCCCTAGAATGAAAATTGATTAAACACACACACACACACACACACACACATCTTCCATATGCTTGCACCTTCCAAAGTTACTGGATGCACAGAAGCAAGCTGTCTTTAAGAGTGTGTAATGTAGGGTTGCCCCAGCTTCCTCCTCCCTTTTACAATGTCTGCTCTATTATTATTTGTCTTCAGCCCTGCAGGTGTTAATGTATCACCTCAAAAGTGATGAGAGTGCTCCTCTTTCTGTCTCAGTTTCCACTTAACCAATAACATTGTATATTCAATTTTTTATTTTTGCAATACTAGCTAACTGCTTGCCTGACAGAATACAAAAATGCTGCCAGCAAATGTTTTGAACACTCCCCCACTGATTTTGTTCCTGAAAAGAAGAGGTCAGTCCTATGTTAAAGAAAAAAAAAAAAAAAGAAAGAAAGAAAAGAAAAAAACCCAACACAGAAATATGTGGGTGTCAATTGTAGGCTTATCTCGTCCTGTGGTATCACCAACAAAAATGGTACTTGTGACTTCTGACAGCAGCAGTTGTTCTTAGTTTCTGTTAAATCACTTTATTTTGAGTTGAATAAAATGTCGGAATCAATCATGAAGTTATATGTCACTTCATGGGAGAGTATAATCCAAGAAATTAACAGCAGACATTTATAAGGAACAGATCACAGTAGTGGCACCCGGCAGCCATCAGTTGCAAAACAATAGGACCTAAGAAAAGAAATCTGATCAACTGAATTTATTCGGATGTTTCAGGGGCTGATGATGTATCCAGGAAGGAAGTTGCAAAGACTCTTTCTCAAATAAGGTGGGAAGAATACACAAAAACAGCTAATAATAAAACATGTGATTGTGTAGAAATGCCACAGTGGTAAACTTATGGTACTAATACCTAAGGGAAAAGAATAAATTGCCCAGTGAGCATAACTGCACACAGTTCATGCAAAGAGGAGCTGCATGCAGAGATAAAGATACACAACAGTTACTCGAGCACATCAGAGACCTTGACAAGAGGGGGCTATTAATATCCAATAGGAGTCAGTTGAAATAAATGGAGAGGGTTGGTGATGCTAAGTGCAAGTCTTAGAAAGCAAAGAAAGTGCAGGTTAAAGAATCGTGAAATGGGAACAAATCTAAGGCCATTAGTAGTAGAAAATAGGTAGTTTGCTCCACAATGTGAGCTAATTATGGCAAGTTCCCATCTCTGGAGTGGTCCCAAGGGAAGGTAAACTCTCCACAGCCCTGAAAATAAACAAAGGACCTGTGTGCAAAGCAAGGTTTAAGGGAAACCAGGGCCAGACTGAGGAGGCATCCCCTGCCCCTGACTAGTCTTTAACAGCCAGGTGTAAAGAAGAGATCTCCCACTTCACATCCGGTAGCTTTTCACGAAATCTGTTTGATTTCTGGATTTCTTACCAAGACTCCATATTACATGAATCATGCATCATTTAAATGAAAACAAGTATCAAATTAATTCTTGTTAAGTACTTTTACTTGGATTGGCAATAATGACGGATATCTTTAAATTATTGCTCCCATGAGATTAAGGAGAAGAGATTAAGTGAGATTAGATTAGATACTTAAGATTCAGTGAAGATTAAGATTGGATACTACAGCATAAGACAAAAAAAATTAGTTTGAAATATGGAAAATGGAAGCACAGTAGAGATACAGTGAGAATGAGTGTTTGCTGTTGCCATTGATCTCTTTTGTTTTGCTCATATCCAATGTTCTTTTTAGCTATCGCTGATAATTTTGCTTCAGCCATTCAAAAACATGGAGAGATTCCATTGTAGTGATATGACAGTAAGCCCGGGAGACCAAGTCCTTAGATCACAGGGTAAACAACAACTGGCTGCCTGATTCAGCAGCAGTGTGCAATCCAGTGTGATCACCATCAGCACAGTGGAAGTGGAGGGGTCGGGGAAGGAAGGTTTGGCCAAGTCTTCTGGAGCCCGATACCACCCAGATACAAGATGTTTAAGCTGAAAGTGGAAAAAAAAGGAAATGGAAGTAGATTAGCTATTTAGACACTGAAGTTAAAATATTTACTCTTTAATTTCCTAGAAAATTTAAATGCTTAGTAATTTTGGTGCCATTTCCATGTCCTATAGTTTTAATTAGAATTACACCATCCATTTATCACATGTGAACACCTTGGTATGTGATGACCACATCATGGTTAGCCAACTCCCTCTTCACCCAGAGAAAAACTTCCTCCTGCTTATTTTGCTTTCTTTTTCTTTCAGAATTTATTGGGATATAATTCATATACCTAACATTCACCATCTTAAAGTGTAAAACTGGGTTATTTTAGTATACACACACGATCATGCGGTCATTACCACTATCTAATTCCAGGACACTGTGAGCCTCCCAAAGAGAGACTGCATGCCCACAAACCATCATTGCCCTCTCCCTCCTTCCCCTCCTTTAGGAACCCCTGGTCAAATTTCCGTCTCTACAAACTTGCCTATTGCAGACATTTTGTACAAATAGAGTCACACAACATGTGGACTTGTGTGGCTAACTTTTCACTTACCATAACATCTTCAAGGTTCACCTATGTCGCAGCATGTATCAGTACCCCCTTGCTTTTTCTAGCCAAATAATAGTCTATTCTATATAATTTTGCTTATTCCTCAGTAGACGTATGTCTCAGCCATTTCCACTTTTTGGCTATTACGATTGGCAAGGCTATGAACATTTCTTTTTACAACTTTTTGTGTGGACACATATTTTCATTTCTCTTGAGTATATACCTAGGAGTAGAACTTCTGGGTCATATTGGTAACTCTGTGCTTTCTTTTGGAGGTACTGCCAGACTGTTTTCCATTTTGCATTCTCACCAGCAATGCTTTGCTTTCTTTTTATAGACCCCAGAGGAACTGGAAGATGTTTCTGACTTGGAAGAGGAACATGAGGTGCGCAGTCACACCAGCGTTCAGACCGAAGGGAAAACTGACAGAGTAAGTCAGCTCCCTGGGAGGAAAGCTGTAGGCTGTGCCCTCTTGTTGTCAATCAGGCAGCCTCTCATAGGAGGGACTCCGGGATCTGGAGCCAGTTTCGCAAAGCCCAGGAGGAAGAATCCCAGAATGCATGGTCTGTAGCATGAGGGGAATTACTTCCTTGACATTGAAAACTCACAGTGAGACCATTTCTGGTCAGGTAGTAAATTATTCCATACCACTTCTAATCTCTATACCAGTCATGGGAATATGGAATTGAAATGTGTACACATTTGTTTAAAGTAGAAAAGAGAAAGCAAGAAGTTAAAGTATTTTAGATTTCTAGAATTCTAAATTCTAGAAAAAATATATTTCTGAGAAACTACCCCTATACTTTTCTTCCTTTCTGCAATGCCGCCTTCTCTTACCCTCAACACAGACACAGACACACACATACACACACACGCACACACTCACACACATGCCTCCAACGATGATAATCGACTTCTGAATTATTCTGTGGCATTGTATTTCACTTTACTTATACCCAGTGCTTGGGAATCTGTGAAAGTTTGGCTTGCTAGCCAACGACAGTATGCAACCGCAGACCAACTACAGAACTTGGGTCTGAAAGTCGGGTGATACAGCATAGTGGCTAAGACTAGAACACATCTGAATTAGCCATTTCTTTTCTGTGTCACCTGGAAAACTCATTCAGCTTTTCTCTGACTTGGTTCCCTGATTTGTAAAGTGAAGATACTGCGAGTACTTCTATGTGTGAACTATTGTGGGGATAACTCAGTTAATTAGTAGAGCACTTAACACACTGCTTAGCTCATAGTAAGTTCTCAATAATCATGAGTTATTCTTTGTAGTTGTCATAGGGATAGTATAATTATCCTCACTTATTACTACTATTAATTATTTAAATTCAGTGACATTACATTTGGAGATGGATAGGAAAAGATAAATTTAAGAAAGTTCCACGTGTTCAAATATTCATATTACTTAGAACTGATATATGTTAGTCACAACTCCTGTGTTTTATTAGAAATGGTGGTTTTCTTGAGCTTACATTCCGTGCTGGTTATTGGGTTAATTCCCAGCCCTCCAGAAGCCACTTCATGTTGGGAACTGTCTGGGGGCACCCGGCATCTGAAAGAAGTTTCCTTCTAATCTAGTAGGCATCTTTGTTAAGAAGGAAATTTTTCCAAATGGCAATGGAATTGGAAATAAATTTTGCTAATAACATAGTTTGCTCATGCTTTCAGGTAAGTGAGTGAGTGATTCACTTCACTGCGGCTGAGCCACTGGAGGTGGAGGGTAGCTGTCAGGACTTAAAAGGTAATTGATAAGGGCAAATTTTGTTAAAATAAAGGTAACCTTAGTAGGATGCTGGGATTAGGATAAACATACCATAGTTCTCATTCTGGATCGTCACATGTAGACAATAAAGCCTTGGTTAAGACCTTAAGTCTTAGAAACTTCAAATTTCTTCATTGAAAATGAGAAAAATAGGGGTACCTGGGTGGCTCAGTGGGTTAAGCTTCTGCCTTCGGCTCAGGTCATGATCTCAAGGTCCTGGGATCAAGCCCTGCATCAGGCTCTCTGCCCAGCAGGGAGCCTGCTTCCCACCCCCCTGCCTGCCTCTCTGCCTACTTGTGATCTCAGTCTGTCAAATAAATAAATAAAATCTTAAAGAAAAGAAAATGAGAAAAATATCATACCTTCTCAAGCATTATTGATAACTTCAAGATAATGCAAATGAAAGTATTTTATAAACCTTAAAATTCATATGCTAAGAAAATAAGCGTCTTCTTACTACTATTTTGATTGTGTTTTTGTTCTTGGCTGAGGTTACAGGCCAGCTAGCTAGATGGCAACCTGACTATTGTAGGTTAAGAAGTTGATGATCTCGATAGTCCTAGATCTTAAGAATCTTTCATAGAAGCTGCTGTTTCTAACTGTGTAGAAATCACCCTGGAGCTGCTCTGTATTCTGGATCTGTGTTCCACTGTGCACAGTTCCCTGACAGGCCAGTTCATCTGGAATGCCCCTGGGCAATAACCTCACTACAGTCTCTTGGCAAGATAGATCCCTAACCATCAAATCTACTGGGAGCAACGTTATATTCAACCTGGCCACTCTGAGCTCTAGTAAATCTCCCTGCATAAATTCCAAGTAGTTTAGATTTTCTTCACTTCCTGCCTTGAGGCTTCTCTGAAATGGCTGTGTAGAATCCCTCAGGAAGCTGATCAGATATTCTAATACATACACAATCTATGTGAAGCATTAACACTCCACAGAGCAACGTTGATGAATATTCTTATTTTCCCTGGATGGACCATTTTGCATTTTGCAAAGGTCTCCAAAGGATTCCCAGGGGGATCAAGGCACACCTCCCACCACAGCAAACAGTTTGATAATATACCTTTGGATTTGTTCTCCTTTTTGTTTGTTTGTTTTTGTTTTTGTTTTTGTTTTTTTCTTTCCTGATCCAGTCTTCCCAGGCTCCTAGTTCTATTCCCCAAGATTTCATCCCAGAATCTGCTACTTTCCATTCTTAGGCTCTGCTTTTGAGGGAAAACAAGAAAAGATAGTCACGGTATATAAACTACTTAATTATCACATTAACTTTGATATACTGATACATTATCCTGGTTTTACTAATAAGATCACTGAGGCGCAGATTTATATAACTTATCTAGTAAGTGGGTTATGTTTTCAGACAAAGAACCTGGGTGATTACCACATGTCAACTCACTCAAAATATAGAATAAGTGGAATGAATCTTTTACTAACAAGCAAACAAACCACCACCACCACAATAAACTTGATTCACCATCAGTGGAATGAAAGGATGCTGTAATGGTCTGAGAACTGGAGGGAGGATACAAACTTCCTTTTAAAATTTAAAGAGTAATTATTATATAGCATGGTCAATTTAACTCAAATAACAACCTCTTATTGAAAACCTAATTTGTGAGTTTATTCCTACAGAATCTGTGCTCATGGCAGGACAGCTCAGACTGTCCCCCGCCCAAACCACCTGAGCAAAATGTTCATGTTGACAGGTTTTATGATTTCTCTCAGGCATCTGGCACCCCTAACAGACCCCATATTCTCTATCATTGTACCTCTATACTTATCTTTCTATGTTCAGTCTCATATCCATTTGAGACTTTATCTCTGAGTTCTATCCAGCATTCCCGAAGTTTCCATACATTGAGCTCTGTCTGTCTTTTGACACATTTCCCAGATACCATCAGGTTGAGAAGATACCATAAGATTTTGAAATGGAATCTGTTGAGAATTTTTTGAATACTCATGCCATGCTCAATGAGGAATTTCTGGTCACTGAACAAGACATGTGCTTGGGTTCCTTTTGGTTTGCTGCTAAATGCCTTTTTGGTTCTTGGCTTATGCAGACTCTGCTGTATGGAACACGCCATAGAACTAATTTCAGGCACTGTTTAGTCATGGGGTGACAGTTATTTATTATCATTTTATTTTTTGCATTTCACTCCCAGTAGCTCTGGCTCAACATCATCTGTTATTGCTGCCATCAGTAGCAAATGCCACTGGGCATTGTACAGTCTGTAACCAACAAATAATGATTCAGAGTCCACAGTCAATCGGAGCGAAATACTAAAAGACCAATAGTGCATGCCTTATGAAGTAGCAGAGGAACAGCACTGGAAATTAGTGATTATCTTAATTATTAAACATGAATACTCACTAGACCAGTACTGTGGTTGTATTCAGTAATCAGGCATTCTGCAGTGATACAGGAGTGTGATTTTGTTATAGATTTACAAAACATTCTTTAAAGATCTCATTGTTTATTCTGATCATGCTCTTAGCAAGGATAAAATAGAAATCTTTTATCTGAAAAACTCAAATTTGAAAGAGACATGAAAATAGATTCCTGTTAAGATCATCAAATTTCTAAACCTACTGGTAATAAGACTTTTTGGTAAGTCCTAAAAGCTTTCTAAAAGATTATACTAAATACATGCTAACTCATATTTTCTATTTAAACAAAACAGTGTCAGTTATCATTTAACACTTTATAGCTTACAGAATATTTCCAAATTGGTGCTTACTTAACAAAAGCTGTGGAATTTTTCTTTTTCCCTTGATTATACTAATTAGGGAATTTAACTCAAAGGATTTCAGTACTTTATGCAAATCATGTAGACTGGAACCAAATCCCAGGTCTTCTGGCATGAACCACACTCTGTCCAGTATAACACACTTGTAAACTGGGGTAGAATCTCACCATTCCTTAAGATCTCATTACCCTCCTATTGTTACAGCCAGTATTATGGAGTTGGTATTATCGTTTCTCTACTAGAAAAATGATTCCTGAAACTGAAAACCATAAACCTTAAGTATCAGACTTGTTTAAGCCTCACAAGTTTCAAAATGTCTCAATGCTACAATCTTCCATCAATAACAAAATCATTTTATTGTTTACAATTTAAAAACTACTTAATGATGCCCAGACCTTGTCAGTCTCTCCCCAGTGGATCACTTTACCTTGATGAAGTCGAATATTAATCAGATAGAGTCAGATAGTGGCAGACCTTGTAGGACAACAATCCTGGGCCTCCAAGCACAGAGTTTAGACAAGTGAGGCAGTTACTCCTCAGTCTCTTATCCAGTTGGTCTCTGTGATACTTCAATAGAGGGAACATTCCAATTTCTAGATTTCCTCCCTCATTTATTTATTGTCTCAATTATTTATTGTCTGCAGGAGGAGCAACAGGGACAAGAGACTCTCAGGAAATAAAGTATCCTCAGAGTGGTGGCTCCAAGTATGTTTTTCATGCCTACCTGGGGTTTTAGGAAGACTTAAGAGAATATGGGGCACCTGGGTGGTCCAGTCCATTAACTATCTGACTTGATCCCAGGGTTGTGAGTTCAAGCCCCATGTGGGGCCCCATGCTGGGCATGAACTTAAAAACAATAACAACAACAACAACAAAACAAGCAATAAAATAGATTGAAAGAGTTTT